TTTTGACCTTTTTATCTCAAGTATAAACTGGACCAATATTTACCATCCCCCCCCCACACCGAGTATAAACCATACCAATATTTATCTTTTTGACTTGAGTATAAACAGGAGCAGTATTTACCATTGTGTCCAGAGTATAAACCAGACTAATATTCACCTTTATAGTATAAACTGGACCAATATTTACATTTGAACTCAGGATCTTAAAATTAAATAACCAAACAAGGCTTGATATTTTCTGTCTGAATTCCTGGGATGAGGAATTATCTTTATTTACATTCCAACTCTCATCCTTATCTTTGTTATTACAACAAACAATAAAGATGAGGACAACAATTTGAATGTAATCAAGGGTAGACAAGTCATTAAATTAATCAACCAAGTTTTATGTTTGCATTTCATGATTTCTTTTTTAACTTTTAAAACATTCTCTATCACTCTTATGTTAAAAATGAAAATATTGGCATGGATCTATCCAGAGGAATTCAAACATATTAACCAACCTGTTTAGCTGTCAAATTACCCAACATTTCTTGGTCTTGTTGAATATTCGACACACCTCTTGAAATTTTGTGTAGTTAGTATTATTTTCTACATTGGTCACAGCTGGAAAAAGATGAACAACAGGTTATGAGCCTAATTTACATTAACAGGAATGCCTCGCCTTTGCTATTCACTATTACTAAACAAGAAAAATGTCTGTTGAATTTGTGAATGGACATCACTAAGTCTGTTCATTGATTGATTCGTTTTTTATGGCTTATCAACCCTTTGCAGGTTATGCAAAGCCAGAAAATATTTTTAGATTGTAAGAAATTTTTTTTGCAGGAAGGTGGGATAATAATGATTTAGTGATAGAAGTCTTACTAATTACCCCTTACCTGGGTGGGAAAATAAGTGGATTCATACCATCTCCCAAGGGTATTTGCATGTAAGTGAATATAATGAACCTAATGGGAATTGGAACTCAACTCACCGATGAACCATTCCAAGCTATTATCCTTTATACCAGCCACACATCCAAGCTTACAGCATGTGGCATTCCCAAGTGGTCACCCATCTAGGTACTGACTAGGTTTGAGATTGCTTAACTCTGGTGATTGTATGAAGAACCAGTGTTTCAATGTAATGTAGGTGTAAACTATGACTAAGTTTATATATATATATATATATATATATATATATATATATATATATATTATATATATATATATATATATATATATATATATATATAAAAGAACAATATTGGGGAAAATGTATGACAAAGTAGAAAAAGTTTATTTGTGATGTATTTTGCCCTTCAGGACTTCATCATATATTTTCCTACAAACAATCGCATCTACAATTAAAAAGAATCTATCTAAACTCTACATAAAATTTTTTACTACTACATCTAAAAACAATAAAAGGCTTAGTCAGTACTAAAGAAAACAATAAACTAAAACCTGAAGGAGGGATTTATCCCATTGCCTGTAATAATTGTCACAAAAAATACAAAGGAGAAACCTCATGGAATCTAAATAAAAGATCATATGAACACAAAAGGAACATTTTACAAAACAATATATCAAATGCGTTGATTGCCTATCATAATGAGATTAATCACAATTTTGACATAAAAAATGTTACTCTGATCAAAGGAGAAACAATTCACTACAATGAAAATGTCTAGAGAGTGCCTTGATTGCAAGGTCATCTACAGTAAATATGTGCTCTGGCTCTTATGACATTTCACCATTCCTGGCAGATCTATTATCACAGTATGGGATACCTATTAACAAAAGTGATGGAAAGAACAAGAAAAAGACTAAATGTATTTGGCTTGATATTAAAAAAAAAAATTCTTAAATTCCTAGCATCCCTCGTTCATGTGTAGGTGTAGTCAAACCAACATTATAAATTTAGTCCAATGAAATCCTGAAGAATGAAACATGCTACAAATAAAATTTTTACAATTTGTCACATTATATATATATATATATATATATATATATATATTAGTTGCTCCCAAAAAGTCCAGTGAACAGGACTACGTGAAAAACAAAAAAAAAACTTTTTACCTAATTTTCAGTCTTGCTACTAGTAAGTACCATTATTTTTTTTTTTAACCCTTTACTTGTTCTTGAATGGTATTTTTATTACTGAACTTGGAACTTGTCCCCAAAGTACTCCTGGACATTACTGGAGCCAGTACCCTCAAATCTTTTTACATTCCTCCCAATTCAGTAAAAACACATGTCAAAGGCAATCTAAAAGGTCAGAGAATTTGAGCAGCATGATGAAGCTGTTCATCAGACAAGGTTACCCAGTGATTTCTGTGATGGATTTATGATGCACAATTCAAAATTCTACCACTCGGAAATAAGGAATCAAATTTTTTGTTGTCGTCATTGTGAAAGCCATTCTACATCTTAAATAACAAAAACTCTAAACTTTTAAGTAAAACTATTATGTGTATATGTGTGTGTGTGTATATATATATATATATATATATATATATATATAATATTAAAAAGCTAAGAGTCACTTAAACACCATCTACCATGGTTTCAACCATTAGGTCACGTCAGGTAGTAGATGCTAGTGATTGCTAACTTTTTAATATTTAATATTTGAAGCTCTGCACATTCAATTTTTTGGTATAGAGCACTTTTAATAAAACTCTTCCCTGGTCAGATACAACATTGACCTACAACTGGTTATATATATATATATATATATATATATATATATATATATATATATACACATACACACACATCAGAATTCAGATAAAAATGATTGTATTCATTTTTATAAAGTTTATAACAATGATGCCTATTGAAGGAAATGTATATCTCTATAGATGTAAAATGGAGATGCAAATGAATTTAGGACACTACTGATTAAACCCACCCTTCAGTATCTGTCTATATTTCTGAGATGAGATATTATGTACACTATTTACATTATTTGGACTATTTTTCCTCATCTTTAATCGCCATATTTATTATTACAAGCGTTACCCAATCTATGTTTCGCTCCGACCTTCTTCAGATTTTGGAATGTTGAACTGAACCCTTTATTTCGCTCACTGGAAGAGTTTTTTTTTTATTGGCATCCACCTGCCATGTTTGTGGAACTGGAACAGTAACCCAGTGATCTTAAATAAAGGGTTCATTTTCAACATTCCAACCATCTGAACTGCCTGGATTTTTTAAATGTAGCCTAATCTGTTTAATAATTCTTTAAAAACATAAAGATGAGGAATTTTAGTCTTCTTAATAATATAAATATATAATATTTTATATTTATATCATCATCTAACAAGTATGAGATTTTATCATTTGTAATTATTCCTAAATTAAATTTGGCTTTTGGCCACATCACATTGAAAGAACAGTTCTTGCATGATCACCAAGGTTAAGCAACATTGTGCTTGGTTACTACATTGATGGGTGAGTTCCAATTCCCATTGGGTTCATTAGATTCACTCTCCTTGGGAAATGGTATGAATCCACCTCTTTTCTCCCCCCAGCTATGGGTTAATTAGTAAGACTTGTATCACTAAACCATTATTTTCTCCAAAAATAAAATAAAATTATGTGCAAAATATTTAAACTTCGCCATAACTGATAGAGATTGATATATCGCTGAACAAAACCAAACAAACCTAAATAAAATTAATTTTCACCCAATTAAGATGATTGATTGCCACCAGGATATATATTTGACAAGATATATATATATATATATATATATATATATATTTGACAAGATATAAAGAAAATAATCACAAAAAAGACCAGCAGGCAATTTCACAGAAACTTCCCAGACCTTAGTTATTCCTTATTTAAAAAATACAACCAGTTAGTATAATTGTTTCTTATTTGTTCACGTCTTAATGTGGCCGAAAGGTCATGTTTTGCGAATGTCTTCTTGGCCAGCCAGATTTGCCACCGAGCAGTCCGCTATCATAATAAACCTTTACTTTTGGATGCAGATTTCGCAGACGGCTCATAATGTCCTTTTCAATCTTGTGAAAATATTTGCGAGGAATGAAACCGCAGCGTACGGAACGAACCAACGTAACAATCCTCGGTTTTGGTTGGAGAATGGAAGAATCTAGAAGCTTCTGTAATGACATGATACGCATGGCAACATCTTTTTGATGAGTCGAATGAATGTGCCTGAGACTTCCGTTCAAGATGCTGCCCCCATAGCAGAGCTGGAAGCGGTACTCAAGCCCGAATGATTTCACTAGGGGAGAGAAGCAGAAGCCGACTTCACGTAGAGCCAGGAGCTGTTTTTCTTTAAAAAGCGCCAACTTTTGCACAAACTTGTGAATATATTTCAGTGTAGCTTTCTTCTTGCAAGCCAAGCTTGGCGTGAAGGTGTTAAGAGCATTATTAAACATAACAAGACGACAGATGAGAAATTTCAATGGAAGCAAATTTCCGACAAGTGTCTTTTTTTCATCTTGGAACAAAATGATAGAGAGAAGCTTGTAAATTTCATTCAAGACCCTGGCTAACAGTTTGTCTGCTCCAACTTCTTCCTCGATAGCTCGAGGACAGATGATCCTTTGGACATCCTTTTTGACCTGGGCGATGTCTACTAGGGACATCCCTGCTGCAACGAGAAATTACAAAACAGATTCATATCCGAGGAAATAAATCGAGATCCAAAACGACATTCTCAGACTTTTAACCCAACTTCCGTGTTTGAATTTATCAATGGCAATGTCCTCACGGACCTTTTCCAACTTGACGGTCCGTTTCAGATGACAGTGGCTGGGGAGGATCGTCTTTTCAACTCTTGTGGAATTGTTTTAAACTGTACACTGAGCATTTCTTTGGGGGGAAGTCTTCTCAATGGCTGATGCAAGCACAGAATGCTCAGAAATTTACCAGCAGTCTTTTTAATAAAATCAATCTTTGCCCAACCAAGATGTGCAAAAGCTGACCGATAAGTTTTGATTTATGATTTTTTGAGTCCCATTTTGGCCAGATCCACACATTGGCAGTTAAAGAGATCGGATGTGATGGCGGTCTGTAAAACAAAACAAAAATATCAATTAGCTTCATATATAGAATTTTTATATACATATATATAAATTTACAGAAAGAGTTGAGAACTAATACAAATTTTGGCTATTTTTCTTTATTATCTTTACTTTTATTTGTAACCTAGGAAACGTTACTGAATAGAATAATCAAACAATAGGCTGGTAATGAATGATAATACTTAGGACAAGAACAACACATATAAGATTCGACAGCGGTGCATAGAAGTAGTCAACTGCTAGAAGTGAATCAAGTGAATTCCACAATAAATCTCCAACTGCAGACCAACATACAGTATTTACTACTGTATTTATGTGAATGGAGACATACCAATTATCGTCTGTAGGTACGCTACCACAACTTTCTAACACCCTCAACAATGACTCATGGGTTTTAAAATCTTGGATCTAATACAAATTTTGCCTACTGTATTTTCTTGCATATGATATTACTTTTAGCATAATATGATAATATGACCCCGTATTTCTGAAGCTAAAATCAGAGAGTAAATTAAGTATAAATACGACCCCCTAGTATAGCCATTCCCATATCATTTTTATTTTGAAAAGATTAACCTATTATTCATTAAAATCTAAATGTCATACATATATTTCATTAAAATACAGTGGAACCTCAGTTCACGAATTTAATTTGTTCCTGAAGGCTGTTCATAACCAGAAATATTTGTAAACTGAAACTATTTTTCCAATAGGAATCAATGTAGAGAAAAAAGTCACAGTACAATAAAATTGAAAAAAAAAAAAAAAAAAAAAAAAACCTAGGCATTTTCAGCTTGAATTTTCTGTTTGAAAACTGACATGTGAGACGTTTGAGAACTGAGGTTGTAGTGTATTTAACTTTTCATAATATTGAAGAACAGAAATGAAATAAGATGTTTAACCATTGTATGAATCTCCTAATTTCCATTTCAAGAAGTATTTGTTGTAACATTTAACGTTATGTCTGGGCTCTCTTCCCAAATCAAACCTGTAGGCCTCGACTGTGGGTGATGGAAAGTGCCTGAATGGGATTACCATTTGTTGATTTGGAATGCAACCCTTGCCAATACATTTTTGACCAGTAATTTGATCAGGTCTGCAGTTAAGCCAGAGCCTGTTGCACTGGACGCAGATATATATATAAAAAAAAAAAACAAAAAAAAAATTAAATATTCTTTTGCAGGCAGACTTATTTTTACTCCAGTGGCAATGGAGACTTCTTGGGGTTATTAGTCCTTGTTTGATGGCATTCCTTTGGAGGGTTGGCAGGATTTTGTCTTGATTAAGGGATGAGCCTCACGAAACGAAGTGATCTTGCAGTACGTCTCACTGGCAATGGTGTGAGGTAATGCTTTCTCCATCATTGTGAGAATAAAAAAAAATTTAGCTTTTTTGTTTATAGATACTTTGTTCAATTTTTTAAATTCGTCTTAGATTGAGCGTTTGTAAGGACGTCATCAACATGTCATGAAAACAACAGATTTTATGCATTCTCTTTATTATTTATTTTATCAATTTTGGTGAATTTCCTGTTATTGAGACAAAAGACATTCAGTTACATCGTTTCCCAAAGAACAAATATTGTCAAATATTGTTTCCCTGACAGCTATAATCTCCAACTATTCAAATGTAATGTCAATCGACATCTCCAGTTGCCTTGCTCTATCCACTATCCTTCTCCTCATCCTTTCTTCTATCACTCCTATCTGATCTTGCACCAAATCTTCTGTAACCCCTTGTGTCCTAGTGGCTTCCCGCTTTGTTGGGGGAGAAATTCTTGAAAAAAAAAAAATTAAATACCTTTTGTTATCAAGCCTATATACTTTGCGCATTATTATTTATTGTGCCAACTGTATTTGCATCTGTTTGAAATCAGGTGTTTTTAAGCCAAGTAAAAATTTCTGAAAACATGTACCTGTATATAATAGGCTACCTCCATTTCCCACTTTAATTTTTGTTTAAAATTTCTTATTATGCACAAGTAAATATGGTATTCTTACACATGACCCCACATACACATATATAAAAGAGCAGATAAATACACACTTTACACAATTAACAAAATTTTGTTAATGTTATAACCTAAGGAAGGTTACTGAATAGAATAATCAAATGAAGGTTGGTAATGAACGCTAATACTTAGGACAAGAACAACACATATATGGTTTGCCGGCAGTGCGTAAAAGTAGTAGTCAACTGCTAGAAGTGAGTCAAGTGAATTCCACAATGAATTTCCAACTGCAGGATATCTACCAACTGCCCCACATGGTCATATGTGGCATAAGGCCAAATTTAATGTGGGGTATCCAAGCCCATAGGCTCGGCCAAAAATTCCCTGTAGACTTGTCTAAAACAGGGTCGGGTAGCTGTTTCCTGAAACAAGACACTGCCCTTTAACATAGCCTCGTCTGAGGCTACTCTGTGCCTAGAGGCATTGTTTGACCATTACAGCTGGAGATGAATCTCCAACTGCACACCAAGATACAGTATTTATTACTGCATTTATGTGAATGGGGACATACCCATTATAGTTTGTAGGTATGCAACAACAGCTAAAATTTGTTGTAATTATATATTGTATAAAGAAAAAAGAAATATCAATATGTGTTTATATGTGGCTAATATTAATTACATATTTGATGGTAATATGACCATGTAGTACAGTCATCCCTATGTATTGTTTTCTTTGAAATGTTCTAACCTATTATCCATTAAAATCACTATGTCTTACATATCTTCTTCGAAAATATTTAATTTTTCATGATATAAAGAATATAAATGAGCCAGATATTTAGCCATTGCGTGTTTTCTTTTTTTTTTTTCTAAGAAAGGTGTTTTTTTTTTGTAACATGAATGTTATTGAAACATGACAGATCTTGTATATTATTTTTAATAATTTTTTAAAATCAATTTTGACGAATTTCAATTGCGCTGATTCCCAAAGAACAACTATTGCTGACATATTAAACGCCTTTTGTAAACAATTGTTATCAACGCCTGCCTACTTTGTGTTATATTATCTATTTTGCTGAGTGTATTTGAAATCTTCAGTCAGTCAGTTATGTGCCATGCATGATACACGCTTAGGTGATCATGTATCTTTTGATACATGACTGATGAGGCAGATTTTTTTCCTGCAGTAGGTTGCCATTTCTTTCTGCGGTAGACCAGTTGCCACCCAAGGCTATAGAACTCGGTCTGTCCTGCTATTTACCCTTAGCTAGGGGGAGAAGAAGAGGATTCGTACCTTTCCCAAGGGTATTAGCACATAAGTGAATGTAATGGATCCGAATGGAATTCAAACTCGGCTCTCTGATTCCTCAATTTGAGCCGCTATCCATTGCTCCATTTTTGTTTTTAATCCAAGTAAAAATTTCTAAAAATGAGTGCTTGTGTATAATATGACACTGTCTTTTTGTCTATAATTCTCTTTTAAAATATCTTGTATTATGCGCAAGAAAATATGGTAGATCAGAATTATTGAAGGGTTACACAATGAAAAGCTTCAATAAAAAATGCTTTAATTAAGGAACATGTCTGAGTCTGTGAAATTTATACAAAAGCTTGAAATTTCTTTTAATTAGTTTCACCCCATGCAAGGCAGTAAAGCCACTAAGACGCAAGGGGTTACTGGATGTGGAAGTATTAGGAACAAAAGCATTAATAATGAGCAGGAAGAGGAAAGTGTAATCAGGAGGACATTAGATAGCGATTGACATTGTATTTAAATTTTTGTAGATTAAAGTTGGCTGAAAAGCATGGAGCTGGAAAGGAGTTATAAAACTTCTGATAGGATGAAAGAAAAATAAGTTTACATTAATAAATGATTACATTTTACTTTTTCATTTATTTTATTTATCTATTTCATTTTAATTTTTATTTTAATTTATTTTATTTTTAGTTTTTATTTATTTATCTATTGATTTAATTTTCATTTTATTTTACTTTTTTTATTCATTTATTTCATTTTTTATTTCATTTAGAAAATTTAAATGCAATGTCATTGTTATTTACTGTCTTCTTGATTCTAATTCTTTTACTGTATTTTTTTTTTTTTTAATATTTTTTAACACTCAGTAACCCCTTGCATCTTAATGCCTTTATTGCCTTGCTCGGGGTGAAATAATTAAGTAAATCAAACTACATAGAGGAAATAAATTATCCATAATTTTGGAAAATTTCAACTTAAAGGGAAGTAACTCTTGCTATAATAAAAGTTTGATATTAATATTTCAGAAAATTTCAAATGGTACCGTGAAAAATCATTTGAAAGGAGGCTCCAAGAATGGTTTCTCTCTGCAAATATCAGTCTGGCTGATAGAGATGCTTAAACAATGTAAGTGTCTGAACTCATCATCTAATAAAGACTCCAATGAAAATATTATTGATATTTAATTTTTAGGAGGTATTTTGTGAAGATTCTCTTAAAAAAATTCACTTTGTTTGCCCGGATAACGTCAGCAAGATACAAACAAACATTCTGATATTACTTCAAGCACAGTAAAATAAAACTATGCGTTCTTGTATATCTCTTAATGCTAATTTTATACTTTGTAAAGAAAATAAAAAAATAAAAAATAAATAAATGTTTCATAAACTTTTATTACAACAAGAGTTATTTCCCTTTAATAAAATTTTTATAGATAATTCACAAATTCAGTATCAAAACTTTTATTCACACAAGGGAATTGTGGGGAAAATGATTTGCTCAAAAAAAAAAAAAAAAAAAAATGTCTGGGGAGTGACAAATTTTTGTTGATTAGCATTCACTAGGTTTTCTTCTACCCTCAAATTTTTGTCAGAATCGAAAAATTTTGGAAAGAAGGTCCTGTTCAGAATATAAATACTGTATAAAATCAATCTTTAGAAACAAAGGAAAAGAAAATGCCGAACTGCTATGTAATATCAATCCTCCTATAGGGCAGTGAAAGCTGAACGATTCATTAAATGATGAAGAGGAGACTGAAATATATATTATATTTTGGAA